TAGGGTTGAAGCAAGGATGCCCATTATCACCTCTTATTAAAATTGTACTAGAAATGTTAGCTTTAGCAATAAGAGAAGAAAAAAGGAATTACAGGAATTAGAATAGACAATGAGGAAATAAAACTAACACTGTTTGCAGATGAAATGATGTTATACTTAGATAATCCTAGAGAACCCACTAAAAAATCTTTTGAAATTGTTAACAACTATAGCAAAGTTGCAGGATTCAAAATAAACCCACATAAATCATAACTATTTCTATATATTATCAACACAGTCCAGCAATAAGAGATAGAAAATAGAAATTCCATTTAAAATAACTGTAGATAATATAAAATACTTGGGAATCTGCCTGTCAAGACAAACCCAGGAACTATATGAATACAACTATAAAACACTTATCACACAAAATCAGATCTAAACAACTGGAAAAAATATTAGTTGTTAATAGGTGGGCTGAGACAATATAACAAAAACTGACAATTCTAACTAAATTAATCTGTTTGTCCCATGACATTCCAGTCAAACTATCAAAAAATATTTTACAGAGCTAGAAAAAAATAACAACAAAATTTACCTGAAAGAACAAAAGCTCAAAGATATGTCAAGGGAATCAATGAAAAAAAAGGCAAAAGGTGGTTGAACCATAGCATATCTCAAACTGAAGCAGTAATTATCAAAACAATTTGGCACTGGCTAAGAAATAGAGTAGTGGATCAGTGGAATAGATTAGGTACAAATTACATTATAGTAAATGACCATAGTTATCCAGTATATGATAATTCCAAAGATCCAAGCTTTTGGAACAAAAACTCATTATCTGACAAAAACTGCTGGGAAAAATGCAAAATTATGGCAGAAACTAGGTAAATACCAACATCTTACACTGTATACCGAGATAAAGTCAAAATGATTATATGACTTACACATAAAGAGTGATATCATAAACAAATTAAGAGTACATGAAATTATTTCACTGTAAGATTTATGGATAAAGGAAGAATTAAGGACCTAAGAAGATATAGAGAACATTGCAAAATGTAAAATAGAAAATTTAGATTATATAAATTTGAATAGATTATATAAATAGATAATATAACATATATAAATATAAAAATTATATAAAATAAATATAAATATATAGGGTTTTTTTTACAAACAAAACCAAAGCAACCAAAAATATAAGGAAAACAGAAAACTAGGGAAAAATTTTTCCAGCAAGTATCTCTGACAAAGGCCTCTTTTCTCAAATATATAAAGAATTGATTCAAATTTATAAAAATACAAGTATTCCCCAATTGATAAATGGCCAAAGGATATGAACATGCAGTTTTCAGATGAAAAAATCAAAGTTATCTATAGTCATATGAATAAATGCTCTAAATCACTATTGATCAAAGAAATGCAAATTAAAACAACTCTGAAGTATCACCTCATACCTATCAGAGTGCTAATATGACAGAAAAGGAAAATTTTGGAGGTTGCAGAGGACGTGGAAAACTGGGACATTAATATACTGTTGGCGGAGTTGTGAACTTACCCACTCATTCTGGATAGCAATTTGGAACCATGCCCAAAGGGTAACCAAACTGTGTGTACCCTTTGATCCAGCAATACCACTGCTAGGTCTATATCCCAAAGACATTTAAAAAAAAAAAAGGGGAAAAGGACCTACTTGTACAATATTTTAGTAGGTCTTTTCATTGCAGCTAAGAATTGGAAATCAAAGGGATGCCCACTGTGCCACAAGCTGTGGTATATGACTGTGATGTAATATTATTGTGCTATGAGAAATGACAAGCAGGATGCTTTCAGAAAAAAACTTGGAAAGACTTACATGAACTGATGGATAGTGAAGTGAACAGAACCACAGGAACATCATTCACAGTAACAACAATATTGTTTAATGAAAAATTGTGAATGACAGCTATTCTCAGCAACATAGCGATCTAAGACAATTCCAAAAGACTAATGATGAAGCATAAGATCTGCCTCCAGAGAAAGAAATGATATTGACTGAATACAGACTGAAGCATGCTATTTTTCACTTTATTTTATTTTTTTCTTTTATTTGAGTCTTCTTGTGCAAAAAGACTAATACGGAAATGTTTTACATTGCACATGTATAATGCATATCTGATTGCCTGCCCTCTCAGGGAGGGGGGAGGAAAGGGAGGGAGGAATAAAATTTGGAACTCAAAACTTTAAATAAAATTGCTAAAAAAAAAAAAAATGAAAGAAACAACATAGTGGCCAATCAAAAAAGAAAACATTTTGAATAGGGAAGGCTAATAATCAAATACTAGAAATTCTATTCTCTTACTCACCTTTCATTCCACATAGGAATTGTCAATTAACTGCTAACCCCAAAACTGCTACAATATCACTATATTCTAATAACCCCGTCCTACCCTCAAGCTACTAGTGGTTCAGGGTGCAGAAACAGTAGAATTTATTTTAAAGATCTTTCACCCTGCCTCTCAGAAACACATAAAACCATTTTTAAAATAAAAATCATTTTCACTGGTATCACAGCGTCTATAGGGTTCCTTTCCCCACTTTAAAGTACAGGAAAATTGGTGAGAAAAGGAAAACTAAACATAGGGAAAAAAAACACATTTATTCTTCTAAGAAAATATTTTTCTAGTTTTGAATGGATTGATAACAATCATTTTCAACAAAGCTATAACCACTTTATATATTTCCCTTTGTCCCTTTAAATTTTGATATTAGATGTATACCTTGGTTCGCTCTGCAAAACACTTTCTATAATGTCATGTTCATAATGGGTACTCAAAGATTTGTTAAAATGTCAATAATACTTTTCTCACCTCAGTCAAATTCCATACACTCAAATGAGCAAAAGATAACCATAGGAATGAAAAGATAAGATCAGCCTATGTTGATACACCATTTGTGATTTATTATATAGTAAAGTGAAAAGTACTTGGGCATAATAAAATGAAAAGAAACTCAGATAAATGTCCTATATAATTACTGTATTACTAGAAAACATGAACATAAAATATAATCTTTCTTAAATCCCTAAAAATCATCAAAATAATTGCTTAGCATTTAGCAGATTTGCACAAAGTGTATTTTTAAACTATCATTTTGTTTTTTAATTAAATGCTTTGCAAAGTTACATAGAACAAAAAACTATCTAGAAGTGATACTTAGTAACTCAAGGTCTGATTGAAACCTATAAAATTCAGATAACAAGGTTCACAACTATCAAAGCAACAGTTATGTTCTCATTTAGAAATACTATAAGATCTCTTTCTTAACTCAGAATATTATGGATTATAGATTTTAAGTCACTTTATTTATCCACTTAAATGATAAAGATTTCATACTGGAGATATATTTCAAATTTTTAAAAACATCTATATTACGTAGTACCCTAAAATTTAAGGCTTTGATGTGTGTATATATGTATCATACATATAATTATGTATATATATGACATATACATATAATGTTACATATATATCCATACATATATATGTAAATATTTAGGTAACATAAAAAGTAGTGAACTACTAATTAGACCACAGTAAGTAACAAAGCTCAAGTGACTGAGAAAAAATGAGAGAGGACCAGCAAAAACTCAGTAGAATATGAAGAGTCGAAATGGGACAGAAAACACTTCTACACTGAAGTTTGTATTTTAATTATTAAAATAGAGGGACAAAAATAGTTTTCCTGTTGTGGAAATCCCATTACTGAGCTCACAACACAATATGCATTTTTGTATCAGTGTCAGCTATTACAGAACAGCTAAAACAGAATTTTCAAGAAAATAAAGTTTTTCTACCCTGTTCTACTCTCTTTTGTTGCTGGTTGAGACTTTCTCAGGCTCTTGCTGGATTATAAACAGTGAAAAAGATAAACAATATGGGCATCTAGGTGGTGCAGTGGATAGAGCACCAGCCCTGAAGTCAGGAAGACCTGAGTTCAAATCCAGCCTCAGACCAAACACTTGACACTTACTAGCTGGACCGTGGGCAAGGCATTTAACCCCAATTGCCAAAAAAAAAAAAAAAGATAAACAATAGCAATACAACAGAAAAAATATGAACTTTCATTCAAACTGGTATATGTAAACTAAAGACTTTATGCATAGAAAAAAGGATCAAATGAATGCGTGAACAGATAGCTATTTCGTAGAATAAAGAGTGAAAGAGTCATAAGAGGAAATCACCCATTCTTTCAGTTGTATGACAAATATTTCACACAGAAGGTAATATTAGCTAGATATAATTGATATTAATTTACTTAGCACCCTATATTTGAGGATGATTTTTTAAAATAATATGAAAATATGATGCTTCTTTTCACATCTTTTCATAACCCTATTCCTCCTCCTTTTGAATTATTGAGAAGAATAAATAATATTCTTGCCTCAAGACATATCATAAAGTAAGAAATGGCATTACTAAACTACAGTGGTAAGGGGAGAGGTAAGAGAGCCAGAGAGAAGGGGAGCACCTAAAGGTTTTGCCGTCATCTTGAACTAGAGAGATAGTATGAAAGATTGGAAAACTCTAGAAGACTGTCTTCACCTTGTCTGGAGCACCATATAGGAAATCATGAAGAAATACATAAAGAGTCAAATAATTAAAAAATAAAAACCTACCACAAAGGACCAACTTGCATTGTACTATGGATAGAAACAGGTTTTGGGAGGTTGAGGGTGTGGACAGATTTTACCAGAGAAGCTGTTGTTTTGAGTATTGTAAGTTATTTCATTGATTTACATATATCTTCAGAACTAATTACTGCTCATTCAGGGTATCTTTTATTTTTCTTCTAAAACTCTGCTGGATAATAATTTACAAATGAGGAATTGATTTCAGTACGGTGACCAGGGTAGGACCATGCAAACATAACATATCTCCAAATGTCCTATGAAGGTATAATGACTCAAAAAAGCTTACTTTTAATGTTATGAAAGTCTCTAGCACCAGAATTACACATCTGTTGTTCACATACTGTACCTTATCCAGTCTTTCAACAGGATTACAAGAAGAACTTGTGCATGCATCAGGTCTTGTTGTCACATTTTCTATAGGGACAACTGAAAAAATGTGTAACATTATATCAAGGTTCTAAAGCACTAATATTCATTAAAAGGGCATCAAATTAAAAAAAAACGTAGCAGGCCTAAGATGTTGCCTCCTTAATAACTAAATTAACTGTAACCATGCCTACTGTCACACCACTGTCTTCATAAACAAGCATAATCAGTTTTGTTAGGGACAAGTTAGACTACATACACTTAATACATTTAAGAATCAACTTGACTCTATGAATTGCTCATAACAAACTGCTAATTTGAATAATTTTGGTGCAAAAAAAATCTTATTTGCTTAAATGAAGGATTTTCAGGTTTAATCTTGCAAAACATTTCAAGTTTCTTTCCCATTTCCTTTATGAAATTGTTTCATCAGCCTCCTTTACTGATCTGTGCTTGTTTCTCTAATACCAATTTAATCCCTTTTCAGAGAGCAATTGTCTGGTCCATTTCTCTTGCACATAAATGGATTTTTCTTTGGGGATTCCACTTAAAAATCTTACTCTTCATGCTTACATCTGCCATAGTGATGTTTATCTTTTAGATTTTCAGTCAGTACCTACTATGCCAAAATAAAAACACAATTTTGGCTTAAATTATAAAGATAATTTCAGTTAATTTAAAAAAAACAACCCCTATGGTTGAGCAGGAATGTCTTAATTTCATGTAGATTGGTTATTTATTATACTAAGCAGCTTCACAGGATTATTGCTCAAGTTTATTCTTTCTGTATAGACCTTGAAATTATTTTCTTCATAGTTGTTACTACTCAAACTTCAGTTTTGGGCCTGGTGGTTAGCCAGTTAATAAACTTTATTGAGTTCTTATTGTTAATATAGTTTTCTAAAAAAATCATAAGGAGATACTACTTTGAGTTTCTAATTGGCTGGCAAGCCAGAACACAGAATATGATCATACAATAATAAAACAATGAAACTAATTCCAAAAAGTTAAATACAAAAATGAGTCTTATAATTGTCATACTTGATAGTCATAAAAGAGCTAAAGAATCAATAAATGAATGCATAAACTCATGTAAACTAATATTTCTGACACCCAGAAACATGTGTATCATTATTTTCCCTTCTGCCCATTCCCTTCCAAAAAACCTCTCCAGGGAAAACACAAGCTACAAGAAACTAAGTCTAGGATTCCTGCCCCAGTTATTCAACAGCAGGCTTTATTTGGCCTAGGGGTAAGGCCAAAACTGAGTCTCTGCTATGATTCCAGGATCAGAGCCACACAGCTATACTGTTTAATTCTAAATGTGTTCCTTCCTCAGTACACCCTTACAAATGCTACCTTCTAGGTGTATATCCCTTCCTCAGTCAGCCCTAGGTCTATAACCCAAAACTGGGTAGAGGGTGACAGAGATTCCAGTGGCACTCCTTCCTGCACCCTGTACTACTTCAGTGATCCCCTGGAATCACTTCCTACCCTAATATTTCCTGCCTTGATGCCCAGCCTCAGTCACGGGTACTAGAATACTCTATAGCTGGTACATTCAGCTGTCTCCCAAAGCTGACTTGGACTGAAAATATGACTTGCTGTGGTTTTTTCTTAGATTTCCCTATCAGAATTTGGTGTGGTATTTTTTTTTCTATGTTTTTGTGGAGAAAGTATGATGGAAGAATTAGGCTATACTTACTGCTACTCTACCATACTGACTTCACCTTGAGCACATTCATCTGTTCTTTGGTATATTATAATCTATATAACTCCAACAATTTGTTTGCTATTTTGCTTGGGTAAATTGGTTTACGTGGTATTGGCTATTTGTGATTGCCTTTTATGCAACCAGTGTTTGATAGGAAGGGGTTAAGCTAGTGAATGTAAGTTAAGAGATAGGAACAGTCAGGGAAGTGGTTTTTTATCTAACCCTACCAAGGATGGGGAAACTTCGGCCTCAAGGCCACATGTGGCCTTCTAGGTCCTTGGATGCGGCCTTTTGACTGAGTCCAAGTTTTACAGAACAAATCCTTCTATTAGCAGAGTTCTGTAAAGTTTGGATTCAGTCAAAGGGCCACACTTAAGGATCTAGAGGGCCACATATGGCATCCAAGTCACAGGTTCCCCACTCCTGCACCATATTCCTAGACCAGAGATATTAGGGGATGGCAAGTAGTTACACTTCTAACTTAATATGCCACTTAGAGAATAGAAGATTGCCCCAGCCGTCCCAAGAACCTGCCTGTCCCTCTCCCCAGCTAGCATGCAGACATGATACTTGCTTCTCTGGAGAGACAAGACAGAACTATATATCCATTCTACTCTTGGGCCACCTACAGAGTCAACCTAAACATAGTCTTACATGTGGGCACATATCTTACAGAGGATAAACTAGATCAACATCATTCTTTTCATCTATTAACTTAGTAATCCAGCCCCAAAAAGGAAATGAGGACCACAAACTATACTATAAAATAGTAATCATCAAAATGATTTGTACTGGTTAAGAAATAGGTTGCTCATGATGGCGTCTGAATGCAGATTAAAGCATAATTTTTTTAAACTTTATTTTCTTGGGGGGTTTTTTTGGTCTATATTTTCTTTCACAACATGACAAATATGGAAATGTTTTGCATAACTACACATGTATAACCTATATCAAATTGCTTGCCTTCTCAGGGAAGAGGAAGGATTGGAGGGAGGGTGAGAATTTGGAACTCATTTTTTTTAAAAAATGAATGTTAAAAATTATTTTTGTATTTATTACATAGGTTTTCTTGAAATGGAAATTTATTGTTTCATATTGAATCATCTTTTATGTTCTGCTGTGTATATGGCAACATTCTTTTTTCTTCCTTTTCTTGTTTTGTATTTAAGTTTAAAATGAATAAAAATTTACCAAAAAATGAAAAATAAAAATAAATTGTTTTTATGTGTAATTTAAAAAACTTTTTAAAGTAAGAAGTAGCTTTTTATTGATATTTTGGGGAATAAGCATTTATATAGTACTTACTATGTGGCAGGCACTGTGCTAAGCATTTTTTACAAATATTATCTAATGTGATCCTCATAACCTCACTGCAAGGCAGGCACTGTTATTTTCCTCATTATAATTAAGGAAACTGAGGCAGGGAGAAGTTAAATGACTTGCCTAGGACCCCACATCTAGAAAGTGTCTGAGGCCATATTTGAACTCAGGTTTTTTTGACTCCAGGCCCAACATTCGATCTATTGCGCCACCACCTATCTCAGTAAATACATTAGGTATACAACTGTAGAAGGAAAAGAGAACAGGAGCCTAGTGTCTAAGAAACCCAAATATTCAGGTGTTAGGGTAAGAATTCATTATTCCATAAGGACTGCTGAGAAAAATAGAAAGAAAATCTGGCAGAAACTAGGTATAGACGAACATCTTAAGCCCTATACCAAGATAAGCTCCAAATGAATATATTACCTAGACATAAAGAATGACATAAAAAAAAATTAGAAGAGCAATGAAGAAATTGCCTTTTAGGTCTATAGACAGGGAAAGAAAGAGTACATAGCCAAAGACAAAAAAGATCACAGAAGACAAAAGGGACTATATTGATTACATAAAAACAAATGGCTTTTGTATAAACAAAACCAATACTAAAATTAGGAGAGCAAGTAACTGGAATATGTAGAGAATTGATTCAAATTTATAAAAATAAAATCCATTCCCCAGTTGATAAATGATCAAAAGACTATGAAAAGGTAATGTTCAATGGAAGAAATATAAGCTATATGTAGTTACACGAAAATTATCTAAATAACTAATAAACAGAGAAATACAAATTAAAGCATATCTGAGGTTTTACCTCATATCCATCAAGCAAGGTTGATTAAAAAGGAAAATGACAAATGCTGAAAGGACTGTGGGAAAATACATATATTAATACCCTGCTGGTGGAGTTGTGAAATGGTCCAGCCACTCTGGGAAGCAATTTGGAACTGTACCCCAAAAGCTACTAAACTAGACATACCCTTTCACCCAGCAATACCACTATTAGGTCTAAATCCCAAGAAATCAAGGAAAGTGGGAAAGGACCTATACATAAAAAATATTTAAAGCAGGTCTTTTGTATGGAGGTCAATAACTGGAAATTAAGTGGGTGGCCATAAATTGGGGAGTATGAATACAATATAACAGTAATATCTGGTAAGGAATAATGAAGGAGATGGCTTCAGAAAAATCTGGGAAGAATTACTAAGCTGATGCAGAGTGAAGTGAGGAGAATCAGGAGAACAATTTATATAATAATAACTGTACAAAACAAATAACTTTGAAATACTTAAGAACTCTGATTAATAGCATAACCAACAACAATTCCAGAGAACTCATGATGCAACATGCTACATGCTACATGTATATAGGTGTAGACTGACACATTTTATGGACATGGCCAATGACAAAGTTATGTTTTGCTTGACTATTCATATTATGAGGATTTTGTTTTGCTTTGTTTTGTTTTCAAAGGGTGGAGGGATATAGGTGATGAAATAAATATATTGTTGTACATTAAAAACAAATTTAAGGGAAATAAGGTTAGTCTGATATGACCTATTTTTGATGAAACCATGCTGGCTGTTTGTAATTAGCATTTACTGGGGCTACTATGTGGCGCAATGGATAGAGCAGTGGTCCTGAATTAAGGAGGACCTGAGTTTAAATCTGGCCTCAGACACTTACTAGCTGTGTGATCCTGGGCAAGTCACTTAACTCCAATTGCCTCCAAAAAAGTAGTTACCATTTATAATGCTTTTCTAAATGTTCACCAACCATATGTTAAATTTATTCTAGAATTTTCCTAACTATAGAAATCAAGTTCACTGGACTGTAATTTGCAGGCTTATTTCTCTTTCCTTTTTTTGAAAATCAGAACATTATTCCTCCAATCCTATAGTACCACACTCGATTTTCCATAATCCTTCAAATATTACTGACAGTTTCTTAGCAATCACATCTGCCAGTTCTTTCAGGATCCAAGGACTTAAGTTTTTCAGGGGCAGCTGACTTGAGTTAATCAATGGCA